CCAATACTCCAGGAACCAGATTATAGAATTTTTAGAGGAGGTACCTCTCTTTCATTAGAAAATCTAAGAAAGAGCAAATTAAAAATACAGAGAGCTTACTGTCTGGATTCTAGATCCAAGTGGATGTATGATTTGTATTACAGAAGATGAGGTCTAGCAAGCACCAAATAGTTTAAAAGTTAGAAGCAAGAATACAAAACATTGCAACCCTACACATATCAAAGAATATACATATTTCGAAGGTACAATAACAACTTGCTGACATTTTTCAAAACGGCATCCAAGCATCAGAATATATATCCAAAGTAGTTTAATAAGATGGTACTCAACAACAAAATAATAAGGTAAGGTGCAATTTAAGTAGAAAAGAAGAACTGAAATGAAATACGAATATATAGGTTTAGTATAACTTCATAAGAAGAGATAAGATTATTATTTAAAAAGAAAGAGGAAAAGAAAAGGGAAAAGCCAAGTAATAAAGGAAAGAAGAAGAAGGGGGAAAAGAAAAAGAAGGAAGGAAAGAAGATGACTGGAAGGGATGAGAGATGATGACAGGAGAGAAGAAAGGCAGGCAGGCAGGTTGGCCAGCCAGCCAATTGCTATTCAGGAAGAGAATTAAGGGATCCAAATTTGCAGTAGAAATACATGGGATGATGAATCCTCCATATTTTTAAATGAAAAAGAGAGAAAGACATAGATAAGTCTCTATTGCATCTATTGAAATAATTTGTAACAGTTATTAGTAGATTTTGTCTTAGTAATCATATTTTTCCTACCACTGGAAAGTAATATTCCTCTAATCTGTGATCACAAATGACCCAGGAAATCGCCCATAGAGTATATTTTCTGTTGTGTCCTGATGTGGCTAACTGCAGATGAGTTGTTCATTATGACATAGTGCATGTCAGGCACAAAACGAGGCTCTGCTGTGGATCGATTAGCAATGAGAAACAAGGGTTTCCAATGAAACATACAAAATAAGAGGAAACAGCTTCTATGGGGGTACTGGGAAAGCCTGTGCTTGAAGCAAACGAATAAACAAACTACACGATCCTGTACCATTAATTACACCTTTGCAATTCCGTAAACTTTAGCCTAGAAATCATCGTGTTCATAGAAACAATCTGGAGCAGACAGATGTAACAAGGGCAGCAACAAACAAGGAAATGAACCGCTTCTGCGCTGACTGCGAAGCCTTGCTGGGGAAGAATACCGCGCAATCACTGCTAATTGCTTATGCTAAGTGAGAACAGCAAACGCAAAGAAATGCCACTCTTCTCTGGTCTGAGATATATTATGTGACTTTCTTTTTCCCCTCCAGATATCTTCGGAGACACTGTTAGAATGTAGCATTCCCTGTGAACACACTATGTGATGATAATGGGAGGCACTCCGGAAAGACATAGGTGACAAAGAAAAGCCAGAGTTTGGCCCCAAAGGGGAGGTAACGCAGAGTACTGGTCAAAGCACAGACGTGAGCTAGAATACTCAGGGTCTAGGCACAACCTTACTTTAATATCTAAGCGGCCGCTAAGTCACTCACTTATCTAGATGGGCATGGTTCACATTTATAAAGTGAGGGAAGTGAGGGGGATCAGGCAGGATGAGCGATTTCTAAATGTAAAGTCCACAGATATTTAAACAGGCAAAATCAGGAAACCTATACTTGACATGAAAAGCCATTTATCATAACTGTAGCATCATAGTACACAATGGAGCCAAAAATAAGACCAACATAGTATATCATGAAATGCTGTAACTGTAAGAAACAATAAAGAATATCCAGCCAATGTATTCAGTCTATTGAACTAAGGCTTAGAGACATTAATTAGATGGCTCAAAATCACACAACTAGCAGAGATGGGAAGACAGGATTAGAATTTTCCTGCTATTTTCAACATCTATAGGATGGCACTGAGTAAAATCTTACTACGAAGTGTTAAAAAGAAAAGGTAAATAAGACCTTGGGACCAAAGCAAAGATATGAAGTCTGACAATTAAATTTGTGAACCTGCCACCTTAATTATACTAGCAGCACTGTATAAACTGCTCAGTATGGTTTCATGAGTTTGATATGTCAGTGTCTCACAGCTGTGTCTGTGTCGACACGTAGCAATGTCTTGCTGAGTGGCATTCATTATCATGGTTGTATGTTTTTGTGTGCCCTGGTGAGAATGTCAGAGCTTAAATTAACAGCAACAAAAACGTTCATCAATTTCTTGTTAAATGTGGCAAGAGTAAAATTGAAATCAGGGACACGTTATTCCAAGTTCATGGGGATAATGCCATGAGTAAAATGGCAGTGTACAATGGATTAAATATTTTTCTGAGCACAGGGAAAGTGTAATTGATGAAGAGAGGTCAGGGCAGCCAGTAACAAGCAGAACTGACAAAAACATCAGAAAATTTTGTCAAATTATACATGAAAACCATGAGTTGACTATGAGAAACACAGTAGACCAAGTGAACATCAACAGTTAGGACAATCTTAACTGAAAATCTTGGCCAACAACTCATGGCTCTTGCATCACAACACTGAATCAGCTCACACAGCACTGTCTGTAAGGGAGTTTTTAGCCAGCAAACAAATAACTGTATTGGAACACCCTCCCTACTCACCTGATCTGGCCCTTAATGATATTTTTCTATATCCAAAGATAAAGGAAATATTGAAAAAAAGACATTTTAATAACATTCAGGACACCAAGGGTAAGACAATGATGCCTTTGATGGCCATTCCGGAAAAAGTTCCAAAATTGCTTCGAAGAGTACACTAGGTGCTGCCTTCAGTGTATAGCTTCTCAAGGGGTATATTTCAAAGGTGACCATAGTGATGTTCAGCAATGAGACATGTAGCAGTTCGTCTAAGGTGAGTTCATGAATTTAATTGTCTCATATAAAATGACATATGTATACAATTCTCATAGAGTAACTACGATAAAAGAGATCTTAAAAGATATCTGGTCAAATTCTCCATCACTTTATGATAATCTTAATGATTACTATTCAATTTGTTTAAATTATCTTCACTTTCTAAATTGCTAATAAGAACCAAAAATTAAGCAAGACATCACAGGAAATCATATCTCAGTACTTCTTAGGCTTTCATAGACATGTGTTAAGTCAGTGGTTGATAATTACTTCACTGAAAATGAAGGGAGGATATGAATGCGAATCATCTGGGGACAGTATTATTTTGAGAAGTCTTTACAATGCCAGTCTGAGAAAGAACAAGAAAAATAATATAGCTCAAATGGTCAGGCCCATAATAGTCTGCCCATTAGATTTGATAGAGTTTATCTTCCCAGTTTGAACTTAGAACTATGGTATTATCCTAAATCCACAAAGAAGCCATCGGTAGCTATACTTTGGACTAATTTAACTTGTCTTTGTTCTTGATGACCCAGGTACAAAGACGAACAAATAATAATTCCCTCTAAAAGATACAGATATTTGGATGTTTTCTACTCTATAGAAGGATAGCTCTTTAAAAAATCCAGCAAAATAAAAACTCCCAAGTTTGATGGCATAATATGGTATAATATAAAATAGAAACCGGATCAAAAGAAATGTAATTTGGGAGTTCTCATACTAAGAATCAAAACGAAACACTAAGTTTCAAACATTTTATGTAATTCAAACGATTCTCCAAAATACTGATAGTTATGTTTACAGAATAAGTTTTAAAATAAAATAAGTCATAGCAATAAGTAATGACAAAAAATAATTATCTTACATTGAGAGCTTTATGGCCACCAAGTTTAAAATCAAGTATGACTAAGTCCTTTGCATCTCAATTCACAGAATAAAAGAAACGTTAGATGGGAAAGCAAAAGATCACTAGTATTTTAAAGCACTGATTACTTCCATCCAGGTTAATACAAAGGACGTAGAGTCTCCATTTTTTTTTTTGTGTGGCTGAATAGTATTCCATGGTCTACTTATACCACAGAGCTGAGAAAGGGAAGGAGGGAGGGGGTGAGGGTTAAGGGGTGTGGTGCAGCGTTTGGTGGTGGGACACAAATTTAAGAGGGTTCTTATCTAACAAAAAGCAATCAGTGTAACCTGGTTCTGTGTATCCTCAATGAATCCCCAACAAGAAAGAAAGAAAGAAAAGAAAAGAAAAGAAAAGAAAGAAAGAAAGAAAGAAAGAAAGAAAGAAAGAAAGAAAGAAAGAAAAGGTAACCAGAAAAATTAAAAAAAAAGCACTGATTACCATATCTAAAAAACTAAAGGAAAATGACACAGATCTGGGTAGACTAACTTAAATCGTGGGCAAGGGAACAACAGAGAGGCAAGGGAGACACAGCAAGAGGGTCATTTTTCTTCTATTAGGAGAAAACCCATCTCTGAACCATTCAGAGGTCTCAACACATTTTGATTCTGTCACCAAACCATGAAGATATCTAGCTAAAATGAAATACTGGAAATAAGTAGCGGTTATGGTTCCATATTCCACAATGTATATGAATGATCACATGATTTGAAACACAATTCCATGGGTTTAAAAAAAAGTTTGAGTTTGAGAAGTTAAAAACCAAAAAGGCAATCATGAATGACAAATAGAAAACATTTTAGTTAAAATATGAAGGATTTGAGAGTGGTTCATATAAGTGATTGTGGCTTAGAAGAGCACGAATTTGTTAAGATTTCACTTGTGGTGAATACTCCCAGGATGGGTGAATACAGGGAGATGCCAAAAAAGGTAGAAAGGTTTTACCCTATTGTCTGCCTAAAGCTACCCATGACTAGCCTGAGCCTGTCATCCTCTCCATTCTCCCTGTGTGATAGGTGAGCATTTCAGAACATCCCTCTCAGCTTACACTCTGCACACAATCACCCTCAGCCACATTCCTGCCAAGTTTAACTTGTCAGCGTTGCAGCCCTGGTGCTTCTCTGAATGAACTCATGGTGACACAAGAAAGGTAGCATCAGACGTGATTAACTTCATCACATGGAACTAAATACACAAGATTCCAGTCCAAATAAGCGGCACTTACTTATGTCCATTTAAGGCTGCATGGTGCAAAGCAGTGTAACCCGAACTGTCTGTGCAGTTCACATTGGGGCCTCGCCAGATGCTGTAAATAAAGCACAAGCATAGAATTAACAGTTAAGCAGAACTTTGCTTTGAAAAACAAAAAGCAGCCCCATGGTCATACAGCCAGCAGCATGTTGCATATGGAAATTTTAGTCATGCAGAAAATGATTGCCATCCTTCCTGAGTCCCTCTCACAACATCAACTTCATTTATTTGGAGCAAGGAAATGAATAGGGAATCTAACTATATTCAGAAATTACTAGCGTGGAGGGAGGGGGATTCAAGGGTTCACTTCTGTAGTTTATCTTACAAGGGTACAAGTGAATCTTTCTATGAGTAGAATATGAACGTTTTAACACAATAACTAAGAAAATGACATGAAGGCTATGTTAACCAGTTTGATGGAAGTGCTTCGGATTGTGTGAGAAAACACCACACTGTACCCCAGAAGTGCATTAATGTACACAGTTACCATTCAATAAAAAAAAAAGAAAAGAAAAGAAACAACATGAATGGATTTCAAAAACATTGTGCTAATAAAACTTTGGTAGAGGAAGAAAATAATGTGAAAACTTAAAAGTTTGCTGGAGTCAGGATGCAGACTTGTGTCCAGTTCCATGGACCAAGACAAATTGGTTTCTTTTTTTCATCTGAAAAATGGGAATTGTTATTCCTAGTAGTGAGAATTAAGTAAACGTGATGTGATTTAAAAAAAAGAAAAAAGAAAAAAGAAATTACTAGCAAATATGTGTCCACTGTCATGCATTAAAATTTGGATACAAAAATTCACTATTACTTTCTACCATTACTTAAATACCAGAAGCAATTAACATTCAGCTACTATTACATATATCAAAGAACAAAGATTGCCTCATCTCTTTTAACACATTCTGAGATGGCAGTGATTTATAGAAGCTATATTTTTTTATTATGGGAAGACCATAAACTCTTCTTGCCATTCTATGTCTACCAAGAAAATGTAATCAATATTTTATACTTGAAAATAAAATCAAAGATTTAGACTGCTGTAAACCATAAGAGGATCCTAACAATTTTGCAGTTATCACCGGTTTTACTATACAATATGTCCTGAGGATAACATGTAACTGTATAAAAGAGTCCATTTTATCTCTGATCACTACAATTAAAGACACTATTTTTAGGTTCTGAAAAATAAGACACTGAATGACACTATTCTAAAAGCAGAACAAAAAGTTACCTGATGTTCATGATGATATTAAAACTATCAAAGATGATATCTAATGACAAACTAATTCATGTATTCACAAAAACATTTATTGTACACCAAAGGTATGTCACATATTAAGGTAGGCATGGAGAACACAAAATTATAACCTACGTCCCTTCTTTACAAGAGCACAATATAATGGAGAGGACAAACATGTAAACTAATAATTATAAAACTAAGATAGCTGAGGTACCAGAGAGCCCATGGGGTCTCAGAGAAGAGAATCAATAGCTATTCAAAACAAGAGATTATGACAGACTTAAACTTAAGTGGGACCATGAAAATAAACAGAATATACTTATTTGAGAGTTAAAAGAGGAATTAGTAAAATGCAGGGATCTATTGGGAAAAAGTGGGAAATGGGAAGCACTAGTTGATAATGACTCATCCTTCAGGATTACATGACTAGAAGGAAAATGGCAACACTCACTAAGATGTGAAATGGACAAGAAGGAGCAAATTTGCCTGGAGGACAGTGCAGAATGGGGAGAAAATAACGACTCCTGTTTTGTAGACATTAAATTTTGAGTGTGCGACATACTTACAATATACAGATTGAACCTAATCCCAACCAAATTCCCAATGACATAATTCACAGAAATAGAAAACAAAATCCTAAAATTTATATGGAATCATAAAAGACCCCAAATAGTCAAAACAATCCTGAGAAAGAAAAACAAAATTGGAGGTATCACACTTCTGATTTCAAATTATATTATAAAACTATAGTAATCAAAACAGTATGGTACTTTTAATCAAAACAAACATGTAAACCAGAGGAACAAAATAGAGATCCCAGAAATAAATATAAACATATAAAGACAACTAGTTTTTGATAAAGGCACCAATAGGGCACAGTGAGGAAAGGATAGTCTCTTCAATAGATGGTGCTATGAAAACTGGATTTCTAGATGTAAAAGAATAAAATCAAATGCTTTTCTTACTTCATATACAAAAATCAACTCAAAAATGGATTAAAGTCTTAAATATAAAACCAGAAACTATAAAACTATTACATTCCTATAATAAAATATAAAGAGAAAGCTACAGGGCATTGACCTTAGCAATGACTTTTTGGATACCATGCCAAAGTTCAGGCCACAAAATAAAAAAATAAGTGAACGGGGGAGAGAGGAAGAGAGCGGGGTGGATGGGTGGAGGGAGGGTGAGTGGTGGGATCATCTCTATGGTTTATCTTACAAGGGTACAAGTGAATATTTCTAAAAGCAGAGTATGAATGTCTGAACTCAATAACTAAGAAAATGACATGAAGGCTACATTAACCAGTTTGATGAGAGTATTTCAAATTGTATATGAAAACATCATACTGTACCCTGTGATTGCATTAATGTACACAGCTATAATTTAATAAAAAAGAAAAGTATACAGGAAAACAGGCAAAAATAGGGGGAAATCTAGATCTTGTGTTTTCTATATCAGCTTTTTAAATTACATGAGTCTAATAAACAGATACCAAAATCAAAATAAATAAATAAATAAATGGGACTACATCACACTAAAAATGTCTGTGCAGCAAAGGCAACAATCATCAAAATGAAACCACAGCCCATAGATCAGCTAAAAAAATATTTATAAGCCATATATCTGATAAGGGGTTAATATCCAAAATGTATAAAAAAAACTCATAGAACTCAACGGTGGAAAAAAAAAACAAATAACAAAAAACAAATTTAAAAAATATAGGCAAAGGACTTGAATAGACATTTCTCCAAAGAAGACATAAAAATGATGAATAGGTATATGAAAAGGTGCTTAACGTCCTTAATCATCAAATCAAAACCACTATGAGATACCACCTCATACCCATTAGGAGGGCTATTACCAAAAAGTCAAATGTTGGGAAGGATCTTGTATACAGTGGGTAGGGATGTAGACTGATACAGCTATTATGGAAAACAGCATGAAAGTCTCTAAAGAAATGAAAAATAGAATGATCATATGAACAGCAATCCCTCTTCAAGGCACATAGCCCCCAAGGAAATAAAATAGCTACCTCCAAAAAAGATCTGCACTCTGTGTTCATTGCAGCATTATCCAGAGTAGCTTAGTTGGACCTAAGTGACCAACAGGCAAATGGATACAGAAACTGTGGAACATACATACAAGGGAACATTATTCCGCCCTACAGTGAATGAGATCTTGCCAATTGCTGCAACATTGTGAGCCTGGAGGACATCACGCTACCTAAAATAAGCCAGACCCAGAACGGAAAATATTCTATTATCTCGTTTACATGTAGAATCTAGAAAAAAATCAAACATACAGAGATAAAAAGAGTAGCTACCAGGGGTTGGAGGGGGGCAGGAAATGGGAAGATATATATCAGAGGATACAATGTAGCCAACAGGGAGGATGTACAGGTCTAGAGATCTACTGTAGGACATGAGGACTGCAACTAATTAAATTGTATGTGCATGGGATTCAAACTAAATGAGATTTTAGCTGTCATTGCCACACCAAAAAAAATGGGTAACTATGTTCATTTGCTCTGCTATATATGTCCCGTAACATGACGCTGTAGACCTCAAAAATACACAACACAATTAATTTTTGAAACATCATAAGAAGCTACTACTATATACCTATCAGAATTGGCCTCCCTAGAAAGACTTCACAGACCTATTGTGAAACCACCCAGAACTCTCCCAAACTGCTAACGGGCACGTAAAATAGTACAACCACTTAGGGAAACAATTTGGCAGTTTCTGAAAAAGGTAAACATACAACTACTGAGTAATTTAGCCATTCCACGCTAGGTGTTTAGCCAAGAGACATGAAAGCGTAAGTCCATGCAAAGATCTGTACATGAATATTCATAACAGCATTAGCCCCAAACTGAAACAACCCAAATGTCCATTAGCAAGTGCACAGATAAACAAAGTGCAATATACCCACATGATGGAATACTACTCAGAAATAAAAGAAATGGAATATTTAAATACCCTGCAGCATTGATTAAAAACCTACATCATTTAGGTTCTCAGATTCCCTCCCCTTCCCAGCACACCGGAATAACTGCTCCTTAATCTCCCCAGCAGTATAGGAGATTTATTCTCTGGCATGAATAAAATATAGTCTCCAGACTAGAGGGTAACAAGCACAGTTGAAGGTAAAGGTACCAACTAGAAATGAAATACTCAGTGAATGTTTACATACTGAATGCTGAAAACCACGAACATCTTCCCTAACTGGGCTTCTAACATAGGAACCGCCAGGCTTACCCACTGTGCACGGTATGCTGGACTATTCTCATCTATGCAAACAAAAATAATCCACAAGGACGTAAGGAAACTGACAGTGAGGGCTTTCCCAGGGGAATCCTGATGGGGGAATCCCTAATCAGAGCCCCCTGTGGTAAAGCTAGGGTACTGGGAAGTATTTTGCAACCAACACTGCAAAAAGCTGAGGGTGGGAGGATGAGCCCTGATTTATAGGCTTTGTCAACTTCTATGATGTAAATGCTCCCGTTTGAGGTCACTTAACTCAGAGATGGGAAGCAGCTAACAATTGCATTTCCTAAGCTGACACAAGCAGATCCAGGACACCACTGAAAAGTCTGCAATGGTAACTCCCAACATCATGAACTCAGTTTCCTGTTAGCTTTTGAAAACTTCCACTCTCGAATATGAACAAACCACCAAAGAAGACCTCCAGCCCTGTGGGGAAATCATTTATTATTAAAGAGGCTGAAACAAACAAAAAAAAAATTAGAACCAACTACAGAAAAATGTAACTTAGAGGAAATTTGGACTAGGCAGGGGAAAAACATTTTCAAAAATAGGATCATTACTATCTTCTCAAAATAAGAAAAGATAATGAATGTTTTAAAAAATGCAATGAAGAGAAAATGAGAGATAAGAGTTCTAAATTAAAATATATATATATGATAGCAGAAACTTAAAACTCCGCAGAAGAATTGAAAATAAAGCTGACAAAATATCCCAGAGAATTAGGGAGAAAAGGCAAAGATGTGGAAAAATAGAAGGGAAATCTTAAGAAAAGTAGAGCATATCTTCAAAAGTTCCAGCACTGGGCAGCGCCTGTGGCTCAAAGGAGTAGGGCATCGGCCCCCATATCAGAGGTGGAGCGTTCAAACCAGCCCCGGCCAAAAAAATACACTGCAAAAGTTCCAACATTGAATAACAGGTTCTTAACATCAAGACATAAAAAAGAAGAGAGAGAAATCAACGGAATAAATCATTTATAAAAAATTATCAGCAGTCGACATTAATTTACAAACTAAAAAAGTGCATGAATAGCTTTGGTAAAAAATCTTAAGAAGAAATGAATCTGATGAGGTCTTTGAAATTTCAACTAACAAGTAAACCAAATTTCTAAAACACAGACGCAGGTCTAGTCTCTTTAAACTCTAGTAATACCAACAACTCTTCGCAATTCAGGCCACCTGAAATGAAGAGAAATTATTCACAACTTACAACTGCATACGTTGTAAGTCTGTATGTAGTTTTGTTATATTTAAAATATATTTTAACAGGTCCAATCATCAAAAACAAAAGGAGTAAGATATCATCTTTCTCCAAAGAGCTCGCAATTATATAGAGAAAGATAGACACACAGATTTTGTAATACAAGTAGTGAGCATCCTGCCTACGGCATAAATACCCAATAATTGTTTGTTATCAATATTCCTGTTATTTTTATCATGAACTAAATGCTACAGTAGAAAAATCTATAACTCCCTAAATTAATATTCCCGTTTAAGGCAACTCCAGCATAAATCACTATGGGGTATTTTAGGGAAAACTCAACTGAAAGTCCTCAATTACATATATCACAGAAGAATTTATAGGAGAAAAAATTATAAAAGAAGCAGCAATAATGGGATATATGTACCACCGATTCTTAAAATGTATTACAAATCAATACTGAAAAGTGTTATTCTGGTGCCAGAATAGAGAAATCAATGATTACAAGAGGCCCTAGAAACAGACCAATAATAACATACAGAAATAATCTTGACATTTGAAAGAAAGAAGAAAAGGGCTGGGTAAATCAATCAATAAATAGTCGCAAGAAAAATGTTTTCATTATTGGAGAAGAAAAAAAAAATCATTCAATTCCCTACCTCATGCCATTTAGCAAAATTAAATCCAATATAATCTGTTCTTGCTTTCCTCTCAACCCTCATTTCTTTCCCACATTTTTTCACACACCCGATTCCAACCACACAGCCTTTCTGGAAAACACAAGTGCTTGCACCTTATGGCTGTTGAACTGAAACTCTCTCTGCCTAGAGGCTTTCTCCTGGGATAATCATATGGCTCAATCTTTCTGCTCAAATGCCACCTCTTCAGAATTCCCCCTCCCAGATGACTCAGCCCAAAATAGCACTCTCTCATCACTCTCATCCCCTAGGTATGGGACTCAGCACCAGCTGACATCACACTATGTATTGATTTGATTCTGTCTCCCGACTAGAATGGAAGCTTCACTCTCTATCTTCAGTATTTAGAGCAGTGACTGGAAGATTGTAGGTTCTAAATAAACATGTGTTAAATAAAATATAAAAATGTCTGGTTTGGTGCCCACAGCTTAGCGGTTAGGGGGCCGGCCACATACACCGAGGGTGGCTTGTTCATATACAGTGAGGGTGGCGTGTTTGAACCTGGCCCGGGCCTGGTAAACAACAATGACAACTACCAAAAAAAAAAAAAAATAGCTGGGTATTGTGGCAGGCACCTGTAGTCCCAGCTACTTGGGAGGTAGAGGCAAGAGAATCACTTAAGCCCAGTAATTTGAGGATACTGTGAGCTGTGATGCCACAGCACTCTACCCAGAGCAACATAGTGAGACTCTGTCTCAAAAAAAAAAAAAAAGTATATATATACACACACACACACACTCATATATGCCAATACATATATAAAAAATGTCTACCTCGCTGGAAATCAAAGAAAGAGAGAAAAGAAACCTATACCGTTACATATTTTTTATCAAATTGGGGGGAAAAAATGCCAATTCAGTGATGGACAGGATATAGAGAAAAGACATTATAATAAACTTGTGGTGCAAATGTAAATGGGTATGATTTTTCTAGAAGAGGATTTGACAGTACAATATTTTAAAGCCTTAAGAGTACACAAGCTTCTTCCCTAGAAATTCTACTTAAGAGGAATTATTTTCAGGAAGCAATTATTAGTTTGTACAAATATTCAGCTGTAAGAATATTCATCACAATGTGACTCGGAGTCGTACACACTGTGGAGTTCTTTGGATACGCAGGGCCCCTTAGGACAGTTGTTCTCTCTGCTCTCATCACCAAATTTCTAACACTGCCTGCCTCAGGATCTTGGGACTCATCTTTCTCTCTCTCCAGCAAAAATGCCTTTGCTTTCTTTCTCTCTGGCTCCTTTTCACAAGGTCCACACCTTAATGTCTTCTAAGGCCCAAGAGCCCACGGTGGGAGCACCTACCCATTGGTTTTGGCTTTGTCAGCCTCTCTGGGAGAGCCCACCACAGAGCAGCCAGGGCTCCCAGAGAGGACCCAGTTCTTAGGTTCTACACAATGGTTCACTATATGTGACAGATAAAGAGATAAGTATTACTATCCCTTAAAGTAATAAAATAAAACCTTGAAATAGAAAAAAACAGGCTGAGGATATTTTTTTATTTTTAATTATGATGAGTGCATAATAATTGTACATGTGGATCATCATGAAAGATACACAAAAATCAAGAAATGCAAAATCTGCCTGGATAGAAACAAATAAAGTGCTCCCAGCAGCTGATAAGCGGAGCAAGTTGAAACGAGCAGGGGTGAATCAGAAAGGATGTCAGGACTGTGTCTCTTGAAGGGAAATGATGGTCTATTGCAGAGTCTGTCTCAAAACTTTCGTAATGACCTACATGCATCTTTATAGGGTACATGTGATGTTCTGATATAGGCATATAAGGCAAATTAACCCAAATCGAGGTAATTAGGGTATCCATCACCTTAGGAATTTAACATTTCTTTGTGGTAGGAACATTCCAACTCAACTATTTTAGTTATTTTAAAATATACCCCAACTTACTGTTTACTGAAAAAAATGGATGTTTCATAAATGTACACGTCATCCTTGTGCAGAGGCCCTGCCAATCCTCTCTGGGGCGTTCCAATTTTAGGAGATGTGCTGCCCAAGCGAGCACCAGGCAGAGAATATTAGCAGGAAATTCACAGAAAGAGGAAATGCAAATGGCTAACTAACAATTGAAAATATAACCAAGCTCTCCACGGCCAGATACGTTCCCAACAGAACAGTGTCGGTCTCTTTCTCTCTCATCAGATGAGTATAAACTTTTGAGAAAATCATTGATAACTAACAAAGGAGGTAGCAAATGTGGGGGTAAAATAGGTGCTCTCACAGCATGCTGATTAAAGTGTGAATACTTTCCAGAAAAGTATCATGGCAATATCTAATATCTATATATCTAGTACCTAGCAACTAATTTCAAATGTGAACACTTTGACCCCAAAACTCTACATTTTAGAATTGATGTCTATGACAGAATAGTATTAATATGAAGACTACACACACAAAAATATTTACTGTAGAATTTTATTTTTTTATTTTTTTGCATCAGGGTCTTACTCTGTTGCCCAGGCTAGAGTACGGTGGCGTTACAGGTCATAGCAACCTCAAAGTCTTGGGCTTGAGCAATCAATCCTCTTGTGCTAGCCTCCCAAGGAGCAGGAACTATAGGCATACACCACTATGCCCAGCTAGTTTTTCTATGTTTAGTAGGGAGGAGGGTCTCACTCTTCCTCAGGCTCACTCTTAAGCTCTGCTCACTCTAAGATCTGGCGTTTGAGACCAGCCTGAGCAAGAGTGCTAGAATCACAGGTGTGAGCCACCACATCTGGCTTACTGTAGAATTTTAATAGTACAAAAGAAAAAGTTCACGAACGCCCATAAAAAAAAAAAGGAAAGCTTAATTAGGATTCCACCATACCATGAAACATTATACAAAATAAAAAACTTGGATCTGCATGTACTGATCTTGAATGTTAAGTGATACATAACAAACATATTAAGTGATAAAATCAATTGCAGAATATTGAGTATCTCAATAACCCAAAGTCTTTATACATATTTACTCATTTTTTTATATATACAATTATAAAACAGATACTATCAGCATTCTCATTGTACAGATGAGAAATATTGGTATTAACGTAGAAAACCACGTGCAAAAACACATTATCCATTCTCTAAATGGTTTGAATAGTTGTAATCATCATGTATTTCTTTAAAGAAAAGAAGACAATAAAATAGGAAGAGAGTAAAGGTCAGGTTTGCCCCCAAACTTGAACCTGAGTGGTTCACGGGACGATATTGAACATGTTTCTGACACGATGGGGGCAGTGTTTTTAGAACGAGGGTTGTTGTGACAGGGAGAAAGGGAACAGCAGGAGGAAGTCAGGTTCACGTCTATTTTGACAAACCAGGGAAGGAACAGAGAAATCTGAACTAATGGACACACAGTAGGAGGCAAAAGGAGAGGAGGAAATTCAAATATATGTGTCCAAAATAAAACTTATGGGAGAAAGTATCCGCATGCACAGAGGATACTGTGAGGGAGGGGATGACCCAGGTTTGATCGTGAACTAAATGCACGATGATGATGATGATATCATCTCTGAGGCCTCCAAGGGCAGCCGTGGTACCTTTCCAGGGAAGCTGAGTCTCATTTAAAGCTGATGAGATTGCTAGGAATACCTCAGGCAAAAAACGGAAAAGAAATGAGAAAATACTGCAGATTAACTCTTGTACATTTCTCTTAGGTTTCCTGCATGTTATTAGACATCATAAACATTTAGTAAGGGAAGACCATGATGCTGATAACTAAAATAAGATTCAGAGCCTACCATTTACCTATACCGAGTCGGGGCCTTGTTATCAAAATAAGTTTAATTATACTAGAAGCATAAAAAATTCCATTGAACGGCTCCTTTTCTCAGCGAAATGGATATAGACACTTCCTTTTTTAAACACGGAGGTTTAGAATAGAAATCGAGTGCATATATATACTCGAATATTCAACTGTACCTATTGACAGAGCCTCTAGGCACATACCCAAAAATCCACGGAACATCCACACACATTTGAAACACTATAAATAAGCCAGACTCAAACCCACAAACTAAAAACTTCCTTTAAAAAAGGAAGCTGGGTGGTTAAAACCTCGAGCTTTGAGCTAAAGTTCTGCTTCGTTCCAAATTTTTGAACTGCGTTTCTCTCCTTACTCAATCTTGAAATGTGTCAAAAAGAGGGTCTAGGAGACCAAACCTTCATTAACTTAAACTAGGGTGACCAGATTTTAACATTTGTAAAGCGGGACAACATGTCCGGGTGAGGGGGGGCAGGGGTGGGGTGGGGGACGGGGCAGGGCAGGGCCTGACAACAATGCAAACTTTGATAAACAGTTCTCAATAAT